CTACGAACCTACGAACCACGCCAACAACTACCCCCAAACCCCCCCGACCAACTCCACCCCCCCCCAAACCTTCCAAGCCCCCCCCCCCCCCGTCCTCCACACACCCACCCCAAACCCTGCGGTTCCCCCCGTCCCCCTTCCTCCTTTCACCCAGAGGGTTTCTTTCGACCAACCCTCGGCTCTCTGTTCCTCTACTCGACCTCTCAGGGTCTTCTCATCTCCTTCCCCTATTTCCCTTCCTCGACCAAAGTTTTTCTTCTTCGAGCTACAATTGCTGACAGTGTGATTGGGAATGGATGTGTTGGCATAAGGTCGAATCTACTTCAACTTGCCGCCTGCTCCGTGGCTACTAACTCAGTGAAGAACCCTTCAACAACATGAACTCAGTGTTGAGGTCGGTTGTAGTCGTCTGGGTGTTAGCCCATTCGTCCGAATCTTTCCTGACCCAGTCACCAAACATGCTCGCGCCGAGCTCCATGAGAGCAACAGTCTCATGTGGGGTGAAGTCGATACGGAAGTTGAACATCGTCTGTAGGATGAGATCTCCTGGTAGCGACAAGAACAAGCCTGAGAGCCCTCAGATGCCCAAGAGGAGCCGGGCTTCCCGCGGCAGCTCCACGCGAACAGGGCGCGCACATGTCAGTGCAACTGGTGCAGGGACGCTTGAGCGGGAGAAGATCGAGTATGGGGCATATAAAGGAAGGAGAGAGAATGTACGTCTTCTTTCATGCCTTGAAAATGCTGACTTGATTTCAACAGGATGACGCGCCAAGATCAAATGAGATGCCTCCACAGAACAGCTCACCATTCATCTTCACAATGTCCAAGGGGAGAAGCTTTGACCGTAGCTCAGGCGAAAGTGAAATTGTTCCCAACGGTGAGGACCCTACCAAGTTCGAAGCTTGGAACATGCTCTCTCCCCTGCGAAATGGTGTCTCTAACCTTGGGGAGAACATTCTGAGGAATCTTCCCACGTTGAATGCTCGATCAGATTTTGAAATTCCAGATGAAAATCTGAAGCAAAAGCCGTCGTGGACTGAGTCGGAGTACAAAGAAACCTCGAGCATCCGGTTTAGGGACGGTTGGGCGGAGTCGTTTCCGTCTGCCGTGGACGCCGCTAGCGGAGACATCAACAAGCTTCCAACACGGATTCCTTTTCTCTTTGGAACTCAGAGAGGCAAACGAGCTGCTATGGCAGTCCTGGCTCCGCCTGAAAGCACCTCCTTGTATAAGAGAATTCCTTTCCTCCTCGGATCAACCAGACCACCTTCGGAATTCATAACTTCCGCCGCGGGGATAGGAATGGGAGAGGATGTATCGAACGAGGAAGAGGAGCTGAGAGCCCTGATGATTGCCAGGCAACGTGCAGAGCATGCCATGCAAGCGCTGCAGAGGAACAGAGGTGGCCAATCCGGAGATGTAAAGCCTTTTTCGAACACTATGCCTTCTTTTGTGCCAACGAGGCCCTCCTCGCCATTTGCTGTCAACGTAGGCACACCAAATGTTCAAGGAAGCAACGAGGCAGCCGTCTTGGAAGTTTGTTCGTTCGATGAAAGCATTTTATGCAATGATATGCATCTTATTGGAAGGCAGAAAAGAACTGTTACAAAGATTGGCCGACTGGAAAGTGCCTCGTTTGCTCTGTGGGGTAAGAAGGTGTTGACCGGCGTGAGCGAGTGGGTTCTGCGAGTGGAGAAACAGACTGGCGTCATCTTTGTCGGTGTGATGGAAGAGCCTCAATTCCCGAGCCATGGCTTCGCGCGAAACCTGGGGACGAGAGCATGGATGCTCGGGAGTTACGGGTATGTGTGCAAAACAGAGCGATGGGGTCAGCGATCACTTACAGAGGTGAGAAGCAGCTGCTTGACTTGCTGGCCTGTGACTGATGATGGCTATGTAGGACGCAAAGAGACAAGTTGGAGACCCTCGAGTCGGTGCGTTGTCGTTCGGTACCGGCACGATCATCAGGATTGTGCACGATCGCAACTCTTGCTCCTTGACGTTTGAGGTGAGGAAGAGTGACCAGTCGGTGTGCTTGTTCTTACGAGTTTGTTGCAGATCTCGAACGAGAAGAAGTTCACCATACCGGACGTGTCTCCCATCGCTCGACCATTCGTGAACATCGCATGTGGAGGGGACAGCGTTTCCATCATAGACCCTTCGGTGGACACAGAACGAGTTCCCTTGGAAGAGCTTGAGCCACGTTTCGAAGCTAGGGCTGAAGTATCTGCGGATCAGATGGAAAAAATTCGAGCAGAGGCTGAAAACTTCTGGACTTGAAACCTTGTGCTGCTGAGAGCACTGTGAATATTGTTTTTGTATGTTGTAGATAAACGTCACCGACGTCAACCTCCTTTGCGATGTGAAGCTCTGCACTTGCAACGTACTCGCATACTACGAGTTCACTCATAACACTAACGACAAGTTAAATTTACACTTCAATCTCCAGCGTGGGATCATCTACGGCAGCAGCAGTTTGATCTTCTTCCACATGGTTGGCTTCTTCCCTGGATGTCCCAACTTGGCCCCCACGATGTCAGCGGGCAGAGTCTCCAAGTTCCTTCCTCCTCCTGCCACGTGGTCAGAGGGCAACGGCAACAAGGGATGCACTACCGGTGGACGGGCCACTCGGAGAGGAGCTGCTCTCTCCCTTGGTCGCGCTTGCAGTCGTCGCAGCAGGAGCGGGAGGGGGTCGTTTGCTCCCTTGCTGCTCAGGCTTTGCTGGTTCCAGGACGACAGTCCAGGAGTCGAAGGCCTCAAGCTTGCTTGCCACGTCACTGGATGATGAATCAGTCACATGGCGAAATGAAACAAGGAAGGGTAGAACGAGAGGAGAGGAAGGAGAGGAGAGGAGAGGAGAGGAGAGGAGAGGAGAGGAGACGAGAGGAGAGGAGAGGAGACGAGAGGAGACGAGAGGAGGAGGAAAGACACAGAATCGGATGTAGAGGCACCTTGAGATCATGACGCAAGGGATGTTAAGCGCATCGAAGGGCATGCCATCGTCCGTGTAGGACATCCCAAACGTTTCTCGGTCATGATTCGCGACAACGCAGGCGACGGCGCCTGCGGCAACAGCCACACGAGCCTTCTTGGTGAAGGGAGCCCCTCCTCTCTTGATGTAGGCGACTGTGTTCCTGCCATGACGTTTCAGCGGGCTCAACGGGGTCGCAGGGGAACAGCCACCTGATCTGATCCGCATTGGAGAGTTCCTGATGGGCGGTGATGGGGTCGGCATGCACTAGAGGGCCCGAGATGTGCTCGATGGTGCCGTAGGTAGCGTGACGAGCCTGCAGCCCCCAGCTCAGCGAATCTCACGGGAATTAAAGGAGCAGCTGGGTATTCAGTTACCTGCGCACGGATCTCCACGCCGGTGGGGGAGGTGAAGGTGACGTGCGACCAGTGAGGGGCCAGACGCTCCGACGGGTGCACGTGCTCTCGGCCTGCGACGTCGCCGTCAGCGTTGCTCTTGCATGTATCAAGTTCGGGACCTGCAATGAGAGCGGCTTCTCCTGGAGGCAGAGGAACGTAGTCGGGGTGACCTGATAAGCCGTGAGCATCCGAGGCACTCGACAAGAGCAGAGGGCAACCAGGAGGGAACATGAAGAATCCCCCGATCTCTGTGCGGGTAGACGAGGAGGAGGCTGCAAGGACATCCGGGGAGGACTCGTCTGACTCCGGGATCCAAAGCTTCGTGTCTTTGCCGTATTTGTTGTACTTGGCTTGTGTGTTCGAGGGTGCAAGGAAGATTTTCTTGTTCTTGTTCTCTCGGTCCACCTGTGAGTTCATGTGTGAGCAGCTTTAACATCACCAAGACAGAGGTGATATACCTTCTCTGATCCCTGTGTGGAGCAATAAATCTCCTTCAAAGACTCTTGTGATATTTTCTTCTCGTCCTCTGTCGCCGACTCATCATGCGGGCGGATTCGAGAGTAAAGGGTGAGGTGCTTGTGGCTTGATCCAGACCCGCGTATCAAGTCGAGGCAGACGACGTCACATGGCGAGTCACGAACGACGCTGCCGAAGGCCTTGAGCGAGGAGACTTTGCGTCCGTTGACTTGACGGATGACATCCTTGACCTGAGGGCACATCATGTTAGAGGCAGACAACAGCAACATGTCAATCAAGTTCAACCTCAAGTCCTGCTTGACCCGCTTGACCTCCCGGAACCACATGAGTGACTGTCAGACCTCTGCTCTTCTCTTCCATCCTCAGTCCCATCTGTGTACCCTCTCGGCCATCTCGTCCTGCGCTGTTATTCCAATCATTGGAGGACTCCTTCTGAAGGCTCGTGGGTGAATCAGGAATGTTCCCACCACACCGAGTGCAGTAGACAGCTTTTGCATTATCTTGCTTCTCACTTCCAGAGTTCTCCTCGTCGCTTTCCTTGTTCTGGTCATCGAACACGGCAAGCACCTTATCCATGGACTTCCACGATTCTTGGATCCTCTTGAATATCTCCACCTCTTTGTCGTGAGCGGCTTCGCTCATGCTCACAAGCTCTCGCTCCCATGACTCGGATGGGCAAGCTGTGCCTACAGCTTCGTGGTCACGCTGTTGGGTCCTTCCAATCCAACGGTCAAGCTTGCTTCTGCTGCGGTTCTCCTCGGGGCAACGGTCACGTCTCAGTCGAGCTAACCATCGGTCGAGCTTGTTCTCACTGTGCAGACTTTCGGGAGAGAGCGAGAAGCAGTCGGGGCTCAACCCGGTGCCAGGGCTAACCTTGGTCCGCGTGATCCACCTGTCAAGCTTTGATCGCGGGGGATCCTGTGCGCCTTGAGGGGGAGCGGTGCTCGAGCTTCCCTCGCTGTCAGTAGGAGAGGTCCCAGGTCCGATGTGAGCAACGATGCTGCTGGGCACTCCTGAGCGCCTGCACGAAGCCAAGATCGACACAGCTTGAGCTTCTCTCAAGCCAGCCGCAGAGGCGATTTCCCTGAGCTGCTGCAAGTGTCGATTCCTTTCTTCCAGCAGCGTCTTTTCGAGCAGCGCGACCTTCTTGTCCAAGGCACCTGACATGATGAACCTGCAAGATGCGGGTGAGTTGTTGCCGACGAGGAAAACGGATAAGCGAATCAATCATAGCCCCATGTGAACCCCCCCGCCTTTGTGCCGTGTGCCCCTGCCCCTGCCCCTGCCCCTGCCCCTGCCCATCTCTCTGTCTCTTCCTCATCCTCTAACACGTTTCCTCTTCCACTTCTGTACTCATGGTATTCATGAATAGCTCCTCCTCCTCAGACCCCTCGTCACAGGGTCCCCGACAGTCGAACCTATCCTTCTCCAACTTTCCTTGGCGCGTTCAATCCTGGTCATCATCGCCTTCCATTTCACCTGTTCCATCGTCTTCCTCATCGTTACTTCACTAGTTCTCTTCCTGCTCCTCTACCTCCTCCTCCTCCTCGAACTCGCAATCCCTCGTTTCCTCATTTCGCTGGAGTCCTCATTTTCACTATCCCCATCCAGAGATGTACCCCTGTACAGAAGGCTAAAACTACCCCTACTCGAAGCAACCCTCATCCAAGAGTCGAGGGAGGGGTAGTAAAGGTATTGGGTACCAAGCATGCCTATCTGAAATAGGGGGGTAGGTTGTCATTAGGAGGGACCCTTAAAAACAAGGGTAGTTTTATAGGATCTTGGGGGTAGGTAATTTTTAAAGCAGGGTGGTAATTTCGACACCTAGGGTAGGGGTTTCTTGGAGGTAGGCTATCCCCCGAGGGGTGGGGTAGTATGGCCTTTGGTACTCTAAGGGGTCATTGAAGCTCCTGAGCTCCGCCCGAAGGGTCAGGGTACCACCCCCATTGAACACCACCCTATTTGAGATCAACACACCCCTTCCGAGTACTACCACTACCCCACACATCAATGAATCAGATACAAATGCCATGCAAGAAAACGGATACCCACCCTACATCTCTGTACCCACCCCCTACCCCTGAGAATACCCCTGCCTTCCTGTACCCAAGATCCCCCAACTAGCTGTCCCTTCAAGTTCCGACCGGCCGTTACGTCACGTTGCAACTGACGTTACTTGACCGTTACACGAAAGGCCTCCCCAAACTCCAACTTTCCAAACTTTCACTGCTGAAACTTTCAGAATTTCTCGTTACTAAACTTCCGAACTTGTACAGTTTGGCGAGCAGCGGCTGCGGCTGCGATGCTAGCGAGCATGTTGCGACAGGCGTCTAGGAGATGCGGGGGGGAAGCGATGAGAGCCTCCTGCCGCCTCCTCTCCTCCTCCTCTTCCTCATTCCCCCGTCCCAGAGTCTTGTCGTCAGGATTGCCAACAAGGCCCTTGAATTTCCTTCCAGGCTTCACTGCCCTCTCCTTCAGGAGCTTTCACTCTAGTTCTTCGCTCCTCCTGCTGCCATCGCACAACAAGGCTATCCGCAGCATGCTTGGTTACAATCCACTTAGCATGGTTGGTGACCGATTCGCTTCAACCAAGGTTGCAAAGAAGAAGAAGGTGGAAAAGAAGATAAAGGTCAGGGCTGTGACGCGGAAGCTTGCCCCCGGAGAGCTCCCCTACCCTGACAATGGTCTCGGAGTTTGGCTGGACGGAAACACCACACCTGAACAAGCCACGAAGAGACTAAAGAAGAAGCTCTTGGCTGATGGACTGCCTCAAAAGCTCAGAAACAACCAAGTAAGACATCAAGGGGGTGAGGACATGCTGTACTGATCTCTTCCCGCAGCGCCATACCCGACCAGCTGAAGCGAGGAGGAGAGCAAAACAACTTACTATCAGAAGGTGAGCTCTGACTCTCTGAACGACAGCGCCTTTGACGGATGAGCAGGCGAGACAAGAAGCGTGTCCGTGACAAGCTCAAGCTGGTTTATGAGAAGATGAGGGAGAAACCGATCGAAGAACTTTTTCTTGAGGCGCTCAAGGTCTCGGAGAGTATAGCCTAAGATGTAGAGGCGAGAAGCTTCGACACTTGCTGTTGGTCAGCATCAACAAACTCTCCACAACCACATGTGTCTTCCTGATGCCTTTTCAAGATGAGCCAGGGGCTCTTTCATTCTCATCGGTATGAGCTTCAATGACTGGTTTCTTGTCTCTCAAGTCACTTCGCGCATGCTCATACAATCTGCATCGACTCTACTAGTTCAATTCCTCCTGGCAGGAGTGCGAGACCTGTTCGTTGCTCACTAAAGGTTGTGTGCGGCTAGTAGAGGTCAGGCTTGGTGCCGCTAGTAGTGGTCAGGTTCCCAGTTGACTGGAAGGAGATTTGCACGGAATGAGAGTCTGCAGTACAGGATGCGTCAGGTAGAGAAGCGAGCGCGAGTTCCCTGCCTGTCGTCGATGGTAGGCAGGAGGAGTTTCCCGTGGCTTCCTGGCAAGTCCGTCCTGAAGAGCGACGCACGTCAGATCACGAGGGTCAAGCTCTGAGGGCTCACATTGGCTGCTCCGGCAGAGGCCCCATGATGTTGTCCCCGGGATAGTCGCCAGTGAGACCTAGCTCACCGGGCAGGCGACCTCTGAGGAAGAGAAGCAGAGGCAAAGGAGTTGGCACGAGAGAGCGAGTCAATTTGAGGCAAACGAGAAAGGGGGGAGAGGGGGAGAGTGAGGAGGGGGCGAAAGGATGGCGAGAGGCAAAGGAATGAGAGGAATGGAACGCGGATGATCAGAGTCAAACGTCAGAGCAGCGCCAGGCAATGAAAGGCAGGAGAGCGAGGAGGAGCAGAGGGGAGAGCTTGCCTGAACCACAGAGGACCTTCGATGCGGGAGCTTCTTAGGATGAGGGTGCTCTTCATGCTCCTCAACCCGGAATAGAACGCTTCGTTTCTCGTCCTCGTTATCCTACCCCATCGCTTTCAAACATCTCAAAGCGCAGGAGGGCGGCATTACGTGCATTTGTAAAGGACGAAACAAGCTTCATCGTTGTATCCTAGAAGAGCAAACTCACTGGCAACATCGAAGGGTTGCTTCTTTTCCTTGCCTATCGCTCTATCATTCTGGTCGAAGTTGGTGTCCATTGCAACCACCGCTGATCTGTCCTGGGCGTACACTCCCAACCCTGCTGGAATATCAGAACAGGTACTCTTTCCTCACCCGCGGCCCCCCCACACCCCCACACCCTCCTCCTCCTCCTTCTTTCCCTCCTCCTTGCACCTGAAGCTCTGCCAGTCTTGTCTACAGTGCATCTCGTAAGCTGGCATTGGCTTTTCCCTCTGCCAGCAATTGTCAAGCATATCAAGTGTGCTGGCCCTCGTGTGTCTACGAGCAGTAGATTCCGTCGGCTGCCGAGTTCAAGCTGATAGGCCAGGCGAACCCTCCCTGACAGAGAGTCAGATGCTTCTGAAGCCAGCAACACAGACTACCACTCCACAGGCAATGCAGGACACGTTCCCTTCGCTCATGAGCTTGATCGCAATGCCACCAGCAGAGCGAAACTGTCGTTCGTCATCCTCTCGAGACTTCCCACTCCCCCCACCTGGGACTTGCGGAACTTCCAAGGACCTGCGTGCACCTCGACGCATCCCTAAGCGCAAGTGAACTTCAAGCGGGGCCTCACGAGGGTCTACCGTGAAGCACAGGTTGGTAGTATGTAGCATCGTCATCGTCTCAATGCGGCCATGCGCCTGCACCCTGGCGGTCATGCGTTGCAACCACTCGCTGCCTCCTAACCCATAGCCCGAAGATCAGCCTGCCCCAGCTGCGAGATCGCGCCTCCCCTGTCATGTTCTTGCACCAGTCAGCGTCTTCACTTCGGCAGGTGAGTTTACGAGGGTTCGGAATGATGTCTTTATGGAGAGCGGATGCCGGCCTTTGGGGTGGTCGCCGATCTCGATGGCCTGCGTGGGAAGCGCGTGACTGTCAATTGATGTCTTCAAGCTCCCGGAGAGCTGATGTTTCCTTCCTACCTCTTCGTATCGATAGTCCCCGCTCCTCACAAAGAGGGACTGGCCCTAACAGACAAGGTGACTGCAGTGTGTGCGATCCGAAGCGCGTCCAGCAGACCTCAGACAAATTCTTCATGGCCAGCTTGACACTTGGGAAGTCGCGAGGGATTTCAATCTGGCGCAGGAGGTTTACCAAGCACGCCAATTGCGGATGACAAGTTGCGTACAGTCGCGTCAGGGGCAAATTCAATCTTCTGAGGAGGGTGATAGCGTTGGAGGACCTCCGGCAGGTACCTGAGAAGGAAATAAGGAGTGATCCTTGAGAGGCATGGCCGACTGACCACCACGTGTCAACAAACTCGGGAGGACAACCATCTTTGAGCGTCTTCGAATCGAGAGCTCGGACCTGGAAGGTTTGGAAATTAGACAAACAACTGAGAGAATCGGCGTACGAGGTAAGGTTTCAATGCGTTGTCGTCCTCTACAATCACTCCGACGTCCTTCGAAATACAAAAAGCATCACAAAGACACAGATTTCGAATTGCAGAATACTGCTTAACCTCCGGTTTGAGGGGACCAAACTGAGCATCGTTGAGTGGCAGGTCAGAATCGAGATCTGAGACCTGCTCACTGGTCAGTCACTGGGAGTGAGCACAGGAGCTTCGCACGTCGTCCCTTCCCGGCTTGAGGTACTTGGAGACGTTGAAGGTCTAGGGCAGGCAGTCAGGTTTCCTACCGACCACTTCCCATCCACCTTAAAATCTTTCGAAAGCGTCACAAGATCTCCAACTCGGAACTGATGCTGGGGCGGTCGCTCTTCGAGAGTCACATTCCTCTCATAATATCTGCATGGTACGGCATGCTATCAGTTCCGAACGCTGTTGCTGGGAGTTGAGATCACTTGTATTTCTCCTTCAGATAGGGATACAAGCGTTTCTTTCCTTCTTCGTCCACTTGGCCAAGATATCCCTACAGCACAACCTAATTCAGCAATGGAGCATGCTGCTCGCTTCCAATCACTTCGGGATTGTCTTCCAATATCCTTTCAATCTCATCCTTCTCGGAGGATTCAACCTCAGAACTATCCGAATCTTTGTCCTTGTCGAAATGCATGTCGTAGTCCCCATACTTATTCTTGTCTACCCCAGCGTACATGTCATCGTACCTGCAAAGAAAGAATCAAATATTGTATTCCAGCAACGTTGCAAACCATTTATTTTCTCCCAGTATGAGCCTCTCTTTCATTCCTGGAGGGATGGCGGCTCAAAATCATTCGCAGAGGCCAGGTGTACAGACCTCGGGCAAGCTGTTGATCTTCATCCTTCGCGTTCGCCTCTTCGGGCCAAGGTCGGTCGTTTTCCTCGCCATCATCGAGGAACGGGTCTTTCGCGTCAAGGTCGTAGGTTCCCCATCCCTTGTCGACCTCCTCCGCTGCAACGAAAACTCATCTCAGAGAAATGGAGACGACTTGATCAAAATCTGTCACCGTCGTTTCCATCGCCTCCTCGCATTCTCAGTGAGTTAGCGCAACGCAGCGTCCAGCGTTCAAGGCCTCTTCCCTGGTGGTAGCTGTGGGGGGGCGCTGGGGCAGGAAATCTCCTAAGGGTGTGAACAAGAGCAGCTGACCCAGCGCTCTTGTCCAGGGCAAAACCAAGGAAGCTGATCCAGATGCAAAGGAGAGCCTCATCATGCATTGCCATCGCGCTCATGTTGTCGGTCTGACTACTGCTCCGCTCAGTTGCAACAGAAGAGCATTGCCATCATCAGCACATCATGGATGGAAGATAGGACAAGCGATTAAGGCCTGATTGAATTGTAGATGTTACCACATGAAGGACAGAAATCATCGCGCGCCCTTCCCTCTTGTCAGTTTTCTCAGAAATATCTCCTTCTGGCCATTCAACTCGTTATCACTCTTCTTCTGTGCATTTCCTCTCCAGTCTCCTTCTTGTATTTCCCTCCTTCCCCCCCACGCTCCCTCCTTTCCTCCCTCTCTTCTTTTTCTATCCGCTCCCTCCTGCATCTCCAACCCTTCTCCCTCCCTCCTTCCTCATTTTTCGCATCTTCTCTCCTCTCCTTGCATCATCTCCGCCTCCTCCTTCTCTCCTCTCACTGTGAGTTCTTCCTCTGTTACTCCAAGCACACAGCATTGCGACCAAATGCTTTGGCAGCAGGGAGAAAAGACAGCAACTATCTTTTACCTCCCATACTACCTCTTTCTCTGAGGTGTCTCAGGGCATCTAAAACTCAATTAGCTCGATTACTTCTCTAGTCAGTCCTTCGGTCTGAGGCGGGCAGGCCGGGGGTCCTCGCGCTACAATGGAGAATGTGGTGGGCGGGAAGCTCAAACTGAAGAAGCCGCTGGAAGGAGCGATCAAGTAAGAGAGGAGAGAGAGGAGAGAGAGAGGATGTCAACTGGAAGGAGAGGGAAGTGAGGGACGTGAGGTAAGAGCAAGAGCAAGTTGAGATGAGGGAAGCGGAAGGGAGGCTTGTGGAGGATCGAAAGCAGGACGCGATAGGTGAAAGTACAATGAGGGGAGCAGCTGGGATTGATTCTGCTCGAAGTCGCAATGCAACGATGCAAGAGTGAGATAACAAAGCTTCGTTAGGAGAGAGCTGTTCATTGTGATTGCAGTTGTCCTCATGACAGATCACATACGAGCAGCAGGATTTCTAAGCTCTGTTGTGCAGAAAGAAGAAGCTGAAGAAGGACACAAAGGCCGGGAATGAAGTCGTGGAGACCAAAGAAAGCAAGAGGTGACTCATTTGTTGCTAGATGGATCGGTAAAGTAGGATGTCAGTACCAAGCAAGACCTTGACGATGATGGAAGAACGGCATACGAGAGGAAGTGGGACGAACAGGTGGCTGGTGACATTGAGTGAGGGGAGTTGAAACCTTGCTTCAGCTGCAGAAGTTGGAACAAAGGCGAGCCAAGGAGAACGCTAAGAAGAGTCACAGGTGCGCGACGATACAGCTAGACCTCACTGACTCGTCCTGCTAGGCAACGGGTCGATGAATTCAATGAAAGGCTCAGCAAGCTCTCGGAGCACAACGACGTTCCCCGTGTTGCAGGAGGCGCTTGAGCCTATTCATCTGGTGATAGATGTAGAAGAATGCATGTTTGGTTCATTCTTGTTCTATGTCGCGATTCTCTACTCGACTCACTCGCTCCTGCAATGCGTTGAGCTCCTCAATGTGCCTGCAGTTGGACAAGCTGCTGTCAGTCTCTTGCCGCACGCATGTGATGCTCATCACCGGGCGATGATTACGTCCAGGGCATCTGCTTCTCGCAGGAGTTGGCGAGCTTCTAGTTTCCTGGCGTGAGCATCGGACAGCTCCTTCACTTGCTCATCCTGCAGAAGAAACAAACAAGGTTCAAACCAGCAACTGCATAAACCTTGAAGCACCTTCCGGTTCTTCAGCAGCATGGCCTCCTCAAGCTCGACACAAGACTTGCAAGCCTGCTTCAATTCTGCCTCTTTGTCTCTCGCCGTCTTCTCCGCTCGCCCTGCCAAAAGGATCAGACAGAAAGTTCAACCGGCTGGATGTATTACCAGCGCTCCTTAGACCCCAACGAGCTTGGTCTGCAGGAGCCTGGAACTCTCGCTCGAGGAAGGGAGACGAGTCGACATCGACTTGCGAGAAGTGGTTGGTGTGAACGAGATTATGCCTGTCCTCTTGGTCCAACTGTGTGGCAGTCGAGCCGTGCATGGTGTAGACGCCAAAGATAGAAGATTTCCGTTGCAGCTGAGCCTCGTGAGGGAAAACTTCTTTCCCCGACAGTCCGCAGCAGTCTTCTCCACAGCAGTCACATCGATCCGCTGAAAGGGAGTCGCAGCCACAGCACATGCACCTGACGGGCAACCGCTGCATCGGCCTCTGCAATGTCCTCTCGCGGGTGTCCTGCGACGCAGGCCTCGTCTCGGCCTTCACCTCCATCTCTCGCACTCTCACAGCAGCTCTGTCGGCTTCCGAACGCATCCTCTTGGCACACGCCTTCAGGTGAGACACGAAGAACCGCAGGTCTGCGACGTTGTTTTTCATTCTCTGCACGCTCAAACCGTCCCTTGCCTCTTCATTTGTCAACTTTTCGACCATGGTTGAGTTCACCGCTGGTGTCTCGTGCGGCCTGACGCTACTGAAGACTCCAAAGGTGAAGTTCGTCTTCATCTGCCTGTCTTCCCCACTTCCTTCAAAACATTGTCCTTCCCGGAGGTGAGCGCGAACGAGCTGGAGCTCTTGGCGTACCAGCACCTCCCATTCTTCTACTGTCCGTTCAGAAAGCTTGCTTTCAGCCTTTGCCTCTGCAGACGGATCGGAAGAGAAGTGATGCAGGTGAACAAGGCTGTGAATGTCTGTCTTGGATAGCACAGTGGAGCCGTGCTTGTGCATCGTGTAAATCTTGGTAATGCCAGAGTGTGAAGATGGCGAAGGGGCAAGGGCCTGGAGATCTGATCCACAAGCGTCACATCGAAGAGAGCTGCTAATGCGTCAATAAATGTCCGAACTCCCGTGAATTTTGACCTCATTGTATGACAACCACAAAGGCGACAGATGATCAGCTTGTCCTCCAGTTCTGCAACGTCAGATGGTTGCGA